GGGCCTTGGTGTGCCCCCAGATCAAGGGGTGACCCAGCCAGGAGGTCCTGGAGGCCATCCTGGGGTGCTGGTTCCCATCACTTGAGTTCCCAGTGGATGAGGGAGCCATGGCCAGGGAACTATTCCTGCCTGTCCCTGGGGTGTTGGCTCTGCCTGGGGACCTGGGGAGCGATGACTTCATGGCCTTACGAAGGACTAATTTCCATCCAGTCAGGGAAAATAAACAAGTGGTTTACCATGGAAAGTTACTGAGGCTGTGGGGAGTCAGTGCCTGCTTTCATCCACAGCCTGGATTTCTCCATTTACCTCCACGGGATGATAATCCCTAAATCCCAATGAGATTAGAGGCACAAAGCAAGGTGGCAGGAGTTCCTCCTCCCTGCCTCAGCCACATTGCCCAGATGATGAAACCCCACGTCCGCCTAACCCCGATTAACCCGTGCGCTTAGCTCATGCCCCCAAAAAAGCCGGGAGCAACAAGGGTGAATCCCCATCCCACTTCACTTCGGGGAGGTGAGAGCCAGGGGAAAGCCACAGGCAAGGGAAGAGCTACTATTTTATCCCCCTTATTTCCCTGTGCCAGCAGATCCGGACGCCCGTGGCAGCCATGGCACTGGTGAAGAGTGGTTGGCTTTGGCGGCAGAGTAAGTGCAACCCTTGAGCTTTCCAGCTTGGGAGCCCCCCAAGAAAACCCTGGAGGGGTTTGGGCAATGGGATGCTGGGAAGAGGAGGGATGTGGGGGACACAAGGAGCTCTGACTCAGGCGGTTAATCCACAGCAGCTCGGATTTACGTAAGTGCAGAGAGGAGCCGTCTGCCATGGGAACACACACACACAGCTCCACGTCCGGGGCTGGAGCTGGTCCTGTACACACAGCAGGGCACCACCAAGATGCCCTGATGGCTTTCTTGGCAGCCTGGGTAAATGTAAAACCACCTGCTCACACTGCCCAGGATGCTCGTACCAGGCCCAGGTGCCTGCAGGATGCAGCGGCTCTGGCCGGAGGTGGAGCGATCCGGCTGCAAGTTTGGGGGCTGGCACTGGGACTTGTGTGTGCTGGTCATATCCTCCTGGGCTCACTGGGGTCCTTCATCTCCTCCCTGCCCCGTCAGGTTCCATCCTGCGCCGCTGGAAGAGGAACTGGTTCGTGCTCTACCTGGATGGCAGCTTGGTGTACTACCATGACGAGACGCAGCGTGACATGGACGGACGGATCCACATCAAGTACAGCTGCCGGGACGTGAGGATCGGCCGCGAGTGCAAGGGTGAGCCAAGCCCTGTGTCCCCCAGCCCCGTGTGTCCCAACCCCATCCCAGCAGGGCTCTCCCTGTGACTGCACCTTCTTTATGCAGATCTAGGATCCCCCCAAAATCATCCAGGATGCCTAATTCTCCCTGTTCTCACTCCCAGTCAGCACCACACCCAGGAGATGCACATTGCATCTTCCCTTCCACTGCTTTTCCACAGGGAAGGAAGGAGAATCTTGCCTCCTGGTTTGTGCTTGTTGCAAACAGGATCCCACGGCCCTGACTCATCCCTTGCTGTCTCGCACAAACAAGGAGAACAAAGCAGCAGCTTGGCTGGGCCCTGGCAGCCCACATTCGCTGCACAAAGCGCCTTTCTCGGGCGGCAGAAGCACAAACCCACAGCTTTATGCCACCAGAGGCTCCTGCCAAGCTCTGGGAACAGGGGAACACACACAACTCTCATGGATGTGAGACTTTGTCCCTGCTAGAGCTCATGATCCCACTCCAGTGCTGAGCACCTCCTGTTTATACAAAATTTGGGTGCAATCTGGCAAACTCGAAGCAAATGCAGCTCAGCCTCGTGGCCTGGAGCATATTTTTGGCAGTCTTCTGCCCTTCTGTTCTTTCTGCCGTGGGGGTGGAGGTTTCTGCCCACCAGGTCAGTGCCTATGTTGGCTTTTAACCGTTGGGATCCCAACTGTGGAGAGAGAGCCAAAGTTAAACCTGGACTGCAAGCACGATGTCCTGGCAGTTCTTTAACAGCTGCATCCAGGGAGGAGTTGGAGCCTGGTCCTCTCCCGAGGGTCCGTGGGTGGACTGGGAGGGTCTCTGGGACATCCCCTTGGCTGAGGCTGGATCCTGCCCTTGCGTTCCCAGACGTGCAGCCGCCCGAGGGGAGGAGCCGCGAGTGCCTGCTGACCGTGGTGCTGCGGGACGGCTCCAAGACGACGCTGTGTGCCGAGAGCCAGGACGACGCTGTGTAAGCTTAAATCCCCTCAGCCAAATTATCCAAGCGGGAAAGAGCCCTGGCTGTAGGACAGCCCTGTCGTGCTCCCACCACATCCCACCCCTGGCTAACCCCCCTAGCCCCTGTTTACTCACACACA